GACAATGAGTTCACTGTACTAAAATGGCCCCCACAGTCACCAGATCTCAACCCAATAGAGCATCTTTGGGATGTGGTGGAACGGGAGCTTCGTGCCCTGTATGTGCATCCCATGCACAAATCTCCATCAACTGCAATATGCTATCCTATCAATATGGGCCAACATTTCAAAAGAATGCTTTCAGCACCTTGTTGAATCAATGCCACGTAGAATTAAGGCAGTTCTGAAGGCGAAAGGGGGTCAAACACCATATTAGTATGGTGTTCCTAATAATCCTTTAGGTGAGTGTATATTTACTGCCAAAATAAATTGCTTTAAATATTTTCTTTGACTGCCTAAGACTTTTGCACAGTGCTGCGTAAATAATATTTTGTGCTCCAGAAAGTTCACACACAGGAGTACTTCTGCAAATCATCTCAGACTGTAAGCACTTTTTAGTTACAGTAGGCACCCTCCCCATTTAAAATAAAAGGCTTATGATAAACAGTACTTAATGAAACAAATCATTGTTGTTGCACGCAGCCTCCTGTCACACGTGCGCTGTGGCTAAATGGGTCCCAGGGTCAGCCTGTGTGTCAGTGTGTGATTGTGTTTCTTGCTGCAGTGACTGTGTTCTTCATTAACATTGCCACGGTGACAGGGCCAACCCCTCCAGGCACCGGTGTGATAAACCCTGCTCTCTTCCTCACCTCTTGGGGGAGATGGAGAAACAGTAAAAGGTCAGTCTGTTGTGTAAGGTTATAAGTCATCAATACAAATGTGTCCCCTACAAAGCAGAGTCCTGGGCATTTCTGGCCTGGTGCAAGTTTACCCTATGTAAAACTTCATCATTCATACAGCAGGCACTGCGAATGTGCTGCACTATAAAACTACAAGCCCAAGGGCACAGCACATTGCAGCACTTCTGGCTGCCATGTTTACTGCCGTACACTGCTTCTAAGCCCGCCTCGTGCCGACGTAGCGTGCCAGCACTCTGCGTGGGCCTGGGGAGCCCAGAAACCCGGCGCAATGACTGCCGGCACCCTCCTTACTAAGCGGCTCTGGAATGTTTTTACGGATGACATATAAAGCCCAGAGACATTAAAGCAGATCGGGGCTGGTACGGGAGACCGAGCAGATTACAACACTGTATGTGTAACAATACTCTCCAGGGAAGTTCTGCTGGCTAATGAAACAGGAATGACCGCCCACATGGTCGTGAATCAATGGGGCCGAAACAGGCTGCTGTGTGTGCGTGCTGGCCACTTCTGTTTTTGTCACGAAGTTTCACCATCCACATTTTTACACACTTTGGTTGGTAAACATCTTAACATCTATTAGATGAGAAATTATTACATTGTCAGATAACATACTACGAATTTAGAAAAATATTAGAAAAATAAGGTTTTTTTCCTTCATGCTCAAATTGTACAAATACATTGTGTGAATTGTGCAAAAAAAAAAAAAAAGTAAATTATTTCAATGCATCACAATATCAGGTACAAAAAAACTAAAGCAAGTTAATGTTGAAGATAGGGCAGTGAAGACATTCTATATATATACACACACACAGTTATATGTTGAGTTATGCCTGATTGTTTCACGTCCAATTGCATTTGAAATGAAATCTTTTATTTGCAATTGGCACAATTACATTGGTATGCTTCTCTTTGCCTACATCATCTTGTTCTCCATGAGACACACAGACACTTATGCGGGTGAGAGCAAGCTTGAGGGTCACAGTGCAGGATCAGCCAGTGTGCATGGTGTCCCTGGAACTGAGGGGGGGGTGTTAAGGGCCTTGTTCAAAGACCCATGGACATGTAACTATTCTGCCTAGACTGGGGCTCATACCAGCAACCTTCTGATCAGAAGCACAGAGGCTTAGCCCGCTGAGCCCCTTACCACACCTATTTACCTTCGGGGTCCATAGTAAATAATATACACTGATTGAGAGACACCTGAAAGTGGATGCAGTTGGACGTTAGTGGGTGTATCGCTTACAGTAACAGGTGCAGGAGAATGAGCAGCACTGCCAGCTACATAATGACCCACTGTCCATATCTAAATTGTAATATATGCATACAGTAATGTATATGTAATGGACAGCTGCAATATTGAAATATGCCCAAAATTACTTGCAACTGGTGGTCTCGGTCCCAAATATGGACATAAGTTGACGCAAAGCTGTATATCTGCTTTTACCTTCAAAGTCGACATCCCCAACCAGCCTGATTTTTCCAGTTTCCGAGTCCTGGATGTGATTTATACCAACATCGATCACTGTGGCGCCTTCCTTCACCATGTCAGCCGTTATCAGATGAGGAATTCCTAGGAAAGGAGAAAGGATGATCACCCTAGACCAGGGGTCACCAACCGTTTTGAAACTGAGAGCTACTTCATGGGTACTGAGCCATACGAAGGGCTACCAGTTTGAAACGCCCTCCTAAACTTATCTAAACTTCATGTATAATAAACGTGTTTTAAATGCTTTTTTTTTTAGATATTGTCATTTTCAAATCTATATAAATGCAAATGTGATTAAAGAAGAATAGCAACGGGATAAAATTACATTTTAGACGCTGCTCACTGGTGAGTTGTGCTATTTTTAGAACAGGTCTGCGGGCGACTCATGTGGTCCTTGGGGGCATCCTGGTGCCCACGGGCACCATGTTGGTGACCCCTGTCCTAGACGATAGAGTGAACCAGCAACATCATTATTATATAACCCCAGCAAGCTTGGGGGTCACAGTTTGCTAAAACATTTTTACTCTGTCATAGAAAACAAAATTTAGCAAGCTTTGTACAAGCTTTACAATTGTAATGATTATTCAAGATTATCTAATATACACTAAAATAATTGCAAATTGTGTCACATCGTAAGGGCTGTGATATTCAGGCGGGCTGAGATGTGGCTTGGGTGGTATCTAATTTTTCATATTGTTGTACCAGGGTATATGGCTTTTTCATGGCATTTTGAAAAGCAACTCTGTTTTGTCATAATTCCAGGATTTTGAAATCTTGGCAATGAAATTCACTAAGTGGCAGAGGAGTACCACAATAAGATTCACCAAACTGTAGGGGTGTGCAAAAATATTGTTGTTTTTTTTTTCTTTTTGATTAGTCATTTTTAAAATTTTGTCCAATTCCTTATTGATCTGTGGAATTTATGGATCAATCTTTTAGGCTAATTTGTTCCAGTTTTCTTGGTCAATTTCTGCATCAGTTGTACTGGATGGCATTGCAACGCAGATTTAATGCCACTTAAATGCCTGAGCTGTCGATTGAAATATTTGCCCTGTAGTCTCAGGCAACAGAAGCATCACTGCGCCTCACTTGCCCTGATGTAAGCAGATGACCAACTTTAGCAACTAGCTTGAATTTCATATAGGTATGAAACAGTGTATCCTGAAAGCACTTCAACCCTTGTGTGACTAAGTTAAATACTTAACATGACAAACCTACAGAAACTTTTAACAAGACATCACCCAGATGTGTTGGTGCCAACCCTTCTGCCAGAGCATGCATGTGGACCTTCTCTTCATGCCAAGTTAGATTCATGTTTTGGCACATAACTTTAAGTCCTTTTGAAACATGGCTAAAGAATTGTAGACATGCCCATTTTTATTTTCAACTATTCAGTTTAGTAATTTTTTTGTGCTTTGAAAGAGATGTTTTTTTGTTGGTAAGGAACTACACCCCTGTACAATAGCTGTCAAGCGGCAGCTATTATAAGTGCAAAGGGGGGACCAACTCCATATGGATACTTATGGATTTAGAATGGGACATCATAAAAGTTCTTGTGGGTGTAATACCAGGTGTCCCAATACTTTTGTCCATAGTGCAGAGTGATATACAATCACAGAGAGTGTTACCGAATAATGTACAATCACAGTGATACCGAATAATGTACAATCACAGAGAGTGTTACCGAGTAAAGTACAATCACAGAGAGTGTTACCGAGTAACGTACAATCACAGAGTGATACCGAATAATGTACAATCACAGAGAGTGCTAATGGACATTCATTGGAAGCTCAGCCTTTCTGCACTTATTCCTAGTTGGCTCCTTGACAGCTGTATGCTTATACTGTATTATCAAGTTAACACTTTCTTTATATAGCACATTTAAAAAGAGCCCCAGCCGAGCAAAGTGTTGTACAATTCGACAGAACCAAAAATGTATCAAATAATTATAGGTCTTGCTTGTATGTCACTTGCTGTAAAAGCATCTGACACATAAATGTAACTGTAAAGTTATGCTTACAGAGTATTGTACAATCACAGAGTGTTTATACATTATACAGTAATGCACAATTACAAAAAGTGCTTATAGAGTAATGTACAGTCACAGATAATACTTATAGAGAAACAAAGTCCCAGAAAGTACTTATAGAATACACTGTAAAAAATGTCCGTGAAATTAACTGAGAAATTCTGTAAAATAGCGACATAAAAAAACTGTAAAAGGAAAAACAATAGAGCAATTGTAAAATACTTAACAAAAAACAACTGTTAATTTTTCAGTAAAAATATGTTTTTTGTTTTTTTTTAAATTTGCTAGAGTTAACAAATTACTGTAGTTTAAACGCAAACAAACTGTAATATAAAAACCAGTACAATACAGTTAAAATTACACCATAACGGTGTGAAAATAATATTTTTTTAATCAGGTCAACTTTGTTTATACTGAAAGAAACCGTGTTACATTTTACAAATTAATATTCTGTGCTTTACAGATGAGAAACAGTAAAACTTTAAATGATATATCAACACTTGCTTTTTGCTACGTGCGTTACGAACCAACAAGAAATAGTCCACACAACTCAGGATTTCTGGTTTGTCAGACAGCTTTTGACGGTACATTTGGGGCTACCGTCAGAACTTCGCCTCATGGCAACACCTCTGGTCCGTTGATAAGAAGGTATTTTTCCACTGAGGTGATAAAAAATACTGCAGCACCGGCGGGGCTCATGTCCCAGCATGCCCCGCGCGCATTTGTAAATAGCCCTTGTATTGTTGTTGTTATTGCTAATGGTTATATTTCCTTATTGTCGCGTGTGTTTACCTGTGTCTTATGTGTACCCTGTCCGATCCTCGTGTGTAATTGGCGTCCGTAAATCTCCCACCGTGTATGCGTCTTACAGTTGAGCGTCTGACAACCTCGTGTTTCCTGTATATAAGTGGTTCGGTGCTCTTTGGGTGCTTGGTGTAGTTCTTTTCTGGACTACTAATAAAGAGCGTGTTACCTCGGCAAGAGAGTGTTGGCAGCTGGGGTTACCAGAATAATTCCGTAAAATATACAGCAAAACAATAATTGCTTTCACCGAATAACATGTATTTTCTACGGAAAAAAACTGGCAGCTGTGGTTACCAGAATAATTCCGTAAAATATACAACAAAACAGTAATTGCTTTTACTGAATAACATGCACATTTTACAGTTTAAACCAGCATATAACACACTGGACTTCTGCTATATTTACTGGTTTATACTGTAAAATTGACATGTTATTCGGTAAAAGCAATTACTGTTTTGTTGTATATTTTACGGAATTATTCTGGTAACCCCAGCTGCCAGTTTTTTTCCGTAAAAACTACGGGATTTTTTTTACAGTGTACCATTGTTTATAACATGAGCCACACCAAGTGAGCAAATGCACTTACCTGCAGCAGCAATTACGATGTCTGCAAGCCTGGTGAGCTCCTTCAGCTTCTCCCTGGGGGTGCACCTGTGAGCGATGGTGACAGTGGCATCACCTGTGGGGAAGGAAGGCAGGAGAATAGTTTTCAGATATAAACCTGAGATCTGGGAATGTCAGCAATAAGCGTTATGCTTGTATAATGGCAAGATATATTTATGATAAAGTTACGACATAAAATGTATAGGTACCAATTTGTGCCCTGCAAATGACAGGTATCCTATCCAAGGTTTTGCTGGTCAATCTATCGTACACACTTTTGGACTGTGGGAGGAAACATTGGCGGAAACCCACGTGAACATGGGGAGAGCATGTGAACCCCACACAGAAAAGAGCTACACCTGACCCGGGGACCAAACCCAGGACCTTCTTGTTATGAGGCAGCAGTGCTAACCACTGCGCCACCCCCACTCCAAATATACAAAGCTGCCATATTGTATTTCATCTCATTTCTATTGGATAAATATCAAATTGGAATTGAACCGGATTGAATTGAACCGTTCACTTGTAAATTGAAATCTAATCGTATCAGGGCATCAGTGAAAATACCCAGCCCTATGGTTAAAGGCCTCGGGGAAGGGCCCAACTGTGAAATCACTCTGTATTTTGAAATGGGTGACCTTCTGATCACAGGTATGGTGCCCTGACCCGCTGGGCCACACACAGCTTTAATTCCTAAGAGCATGTAGACCAGCAGCCCCTCACTCACTTTAATGTTCCTACCATCATTCGGCGAAAACCCCACCTTTCGAAACAAACAATAACAAACATTCTGGCTGACTCTGTCACGCAACAGTGCTGGCAGACCCCCAACCCTCACCCACCCCAGACAAGTGCAGTCGTAAAAACACTTTACTGGCAGCGTGTTATAAACGTGAAAAAATGTGAAGTAAACGTGGCAAGGCCTGTTATTGCAACCCACCTCCCAGCCAAAAAGCCACACTGAATAAGATTTAAAAGTATATTTGAAACATAAAATATCCTGCAATATTCATATACGGACTAGAGCCTATCCCAGGCAAATTTGGACAAGACACCAGTCCCCACACACACACACATACATACATACTGTATGTTGGGTATACCTATCCTTATGGGGCCCGCTCATTCACTTCTATGGGAAAAATGCTAACGCTAACTATGACAACCTTAACCCCCACCCTGCCCTAAGCATAACCATAAGTAATGAAGCAAAATACAAGAGTTTTTGCATTTTTAGTTTTTTCATAGTAGTCACCAATTTTTATAAAATAGAGTTTTCCCATATGGAGACCAACTACAACTCCTGGTAATAGACAAATACATAAAATAGATTAGATTAGATTAGATTAGATTCAACATTATTGTCATTACACAACGAAATGCAGTTTAGGTCTAACCAGGAGTGCAATAAGCATTAAGTGCAGGATAAAGGTATAAGTTATAAGTGCACTTAAATGGGATATGTGCAGGGAGAAAGTAAGGGTAATATTTACAGATGGATATGCTGTGAGCATAATATACAGATTGCTAGTGACTATAATCAGAAATTTACTAATAGATGAACAATATATACAGGTTGCTATTAACTGTGATCAGGAATTGCCGATAGATATGAACATAATGTACAGATTGCTATTTCTAGATACAAATTGCTATTTTTAGAAACAGGAATTTACAAATAGGACATTTACAGATATATATAATCAGAAAATTACAACTGTATTGTGCAATGGATATTGTGCTACTCTGTTATTTGTTTCACTTGCTTCCCTTTTGAGTGTATATAAAAAAGAAACGGAAAATAAATATATTTCGTTTTATTTGAGTTTAATTAAATGGAATGATGAACATCGACACGAACGAGGAGCTTTTCAGAACATAGAAATACACTCAGAACAGTTAGAAATAGACTAATAATATTGCAATGAAACAAAATAATAATAAATGTTGATTTCTCAAGTAGTCAAACAGAAAAGCATTTGGCCTAATACTGCTTCAGAGTGTTAGCCTTTAATTTAGTCGTTCTTGTTGCTTTTGTGCAGTAGATAAATAATAGAGTACTTGTTTTTAATAAATTAATTTTAAGATAATTCCATTTTGCGGGAGTCCCACGATTAATTCTCTTCTCCCGCAACCCGCACATACATGAGGACCTTACTGCCCACACCCGCATTCACCCATCAAATCTTGTCCCGCGCCGCACTCGTTGCGTTGGGTCCCGCGGATCCCGTGGGAGTGCAGGTCTCTATTGTGATCATCGTCAGCGTGCCACCCGAAATTCCTCCACGTGCCAGTTGTGGCACGCGTGCCTAGGGTTGCCGACCCCTGGTGTAGTGCATTAAAAATTAAATAGTGCAATGATAATGGAGAGAGTATAGGAGTGTGTGAGGGGGGGCAGGTGTCAGTGGGGGGGAGAGTTCAATAAGGAGACCGTTCTGGGAAAGAAGCTGTTCCTTAGTCTGCTGGTTCTTGACCTGGGACACCTGAAGCGCCGACCGGAAGGCAGGAGAGAAAACAGTTTGTGGGCGGGATGAGAGTAATCCTTAAGAATACTGCGTGCTCGACGCATACGGTGTTTCTTCTGGATTTCCTCAATGGCTGGAAGTGGAGTCCCTATAATGCGCAGGGCAGTTTTCACCACCCGCTGCAGTGCCTTACGCTCAGCAACAGGGCAGTTTCCGTACCAAACTGTTACACAGTTGGTTAGGATACTTTCTATTCAGCGATAGAAGTTCATCAGGGTGGCTGAGGACAGCTGGTTCTTCTTAAGTGTTCTGATGAAGAAGAGGCGCTGGTGAGCCTTCTTGACCAGGCTAGAGGTGTTGGTGGTCCAGGATAGGTCCTCCAAAATGTGGGTCCCCAGGAACTTGAAGGATGAGACAGGCTCAACAGCCATCCTGTTGATGTAAATGGGTTCATGTGAACCTCTTCTTCCCTTCCTGAAGTCCACAATGAGCTCCTTGGTCTTAAGGAGCAGATTATTGTCCGTGCACCAATTGGCCAGGTGCTTGATCTCCTCCCTGTAGGCAGTCTCGTCGTTGTTGCTGATGAGACCCATCACCGTAGTATCGTCTGTAAATTTGATGATGGTGTTGGATCCCTGTACAGGCCTGCAGTCATGGGTGAAGAGGGAGTAAAGGAAGGGGCTCAGCACACAGCCCTGTGGTACACCAGTGTTGAGCAGATGTGGCCTGACCTAACATACTGAGGTCTGTTGGTCAGAAAAATCCATAATCCAGTTGCAGATTGAGGTATTAATGTCCAGGTCTCTAAGTTTGGTGATTAACTTAGAGGGTAAGACAGTATTGAATGCTGAGCTAAAGTCAACAAACAGCATTCATGCATAGGTGTTTGTACTGTCCAGGTGTGTGAGCACAGAGTGCAGCGCTATGGAGACTGCATCATCTGTGCTCCTGTTGCCACGGTAAGCAAACTGGTGTGGGTCCAGTGAGGATTGGAGAAAATCCTTTAGGTGTGTCAGGACCAACCGCTCAAAGCACTTCAATAATGTTCAAATCATATCTAATTGTAGTTTCAGGCAGGTGTATTCAAACTTTTGACTGGTACCGTATAAAGAATACTTTACATGTATAACATTTAACATGTCATTAATGATTGCTGATTAAACTGTTACAGAAGAAAAATGTCTGCTAATAATACTAGGATAATAGGATAATAATAATAGGATGCATTTCCTATTGAAAGAAAAGCATGACAGTCTTCCAAACCCAACGCTGAATGTGCATGGTGATGCACAGCACAATATCTGAGTGCTAGTCAAAACATGAAGGTATGTTGCGTTTCCTCCCCATTGTATTTATTTATTATAGTCATTTAAAAAAAATTAAAAAAAATAAATCAATTTAGCAGTTTATACTTAAGGTGAATTCAACATTTTAATACAGAGTGATTACAGAATTTGCTCCAACTCACTCACAAAAGTTAAAAAGGTCACGTGTATGTGGCTATTCTGCGAAATCACACCTTCGTTCGCACAATTTCAAGACCTCACCGTGATGACATCCAGACGTGTCAAGGCAAACAGAAAACGATTTTCATAAATTCTTTCAGGATGCTTTCATTCTTTCACACTGCTTCAGGTTCACTGGCATCCAACTAATCACAGGAAGAGCACGTAATATGATATATATTGCCGAGCATTTGAGAAATGCAGGAAGAACCATGTCAATATCCGACTCTCTGTACTAAAAACCTCTGACAATCCCTTTTCTCTGAAAAGTTAACACAACCTTTTCAACATAATCCCTGCCAAAGCACGTTCCGTCATGTACTTTTTGTTATGTATCATATTTATTGACTCAGTTAACGCCAGCTGCAAGATTTAAACCTTGATAAAAAAAGTATTTGCTACATTATTGTCCAACCAGATTTAAGGTCACAGCCATTACACTATTTCACTGTGATTCATACCACATTTTCTAGCATGCTAAAGGAGGGAATCCCTTTGGGTTTCATTTTGCTTGTAAGTTCAGCTTTGTGAGGGACTGTGTCCTCAGTTAACCGAAGGATTCACATTCTCAAGGTACAGATATCAAAACAAACAAATAAGTAAATAAAGGCTAGAGTGATAACCAATTTTGAAAGAAGAAAAAGATGAGTCAGGGAAATTATCAATATTTATCAATAGTTATCAACTTTATCCATCTATCTAAAACCGGACATGCATTGTACAGTAAAAGATTCGAACACATTTAGATCTCACTTACCAGTTACATATCTTTCACTTTTGACATCTTTCTAGATAGCAGCTGATAGCCTGAGTCTAATGCTGTGAATCATTTATTTAATGAATCTACTATATCAAGGGTGGCCAATCTTATCCGCAAAGGGCCAGTGTGTATGCAGATTTTCACTGCAACTCCCTAATTAGGTCACTAATTAGAGGACTGATTGGCTGAAGAGTCCTCACCCCTGGGTTTGAACAGCTGACCTAAAGGTTACCCCAAAAACCTTTGCGGGTAAGACTGGCCACCCCAGTACTATATCAATAGGCAAGCCATTCACAGTTCAGTCTTGTTTGTGAAGTCTTTAGCTTGATGTGGGATGAACTCTCCAAAATAAGCAGGTGTTGTTGTGCTGGTTCTTTGCTTTGTCCTTTGCTGTCCTTTCAAATAATCCCCACGTTTATGTTGCCTTAAAAGAAATAAACTCTCCCACTTGCTCACAAATATCTTTTCTTTATAGTTCCCAGACTTATCAAAATACTACTGTTTTTCAGGCATTATCGATAATTATTAAAAAATGGTTCCAGCCACACTAATGGAGGTAAAAAAATACAACCACCCGGATGAGTAATAGACCACAAACAGAGCCCATCCTTTGACAGAGCCCATCCTGCCGATCTTACCTCCAGGACGCTCGTGTCGTCCGTCTGTGTGCAGAAGCATAGCGATGGGCATCCCCACATTCTTGGACCGGCCAGCCACCACCACATTCCTCCCAACCGTCTGAATCTCTGAGAAAGACCCAGCTGTCAATTACTCGCAGTCTCATGCACACCTCTAACTCTGCTGATGTGACTCGCACCTAATCACACAAGAGGGAATGCGACAGTGAATGCGACTGTCTGAGGGGTAATAGCGGCAGAGAGCAATTGGGATCCATCCTCATGATACAATAAGCATAATAACAAAAACAACAATTATCATAAAGAGAAATATCTTTGCTCAAGCATCATAAAAGAATATCACGATCTTGATTTTGAATGGGGAAAAAAAACAGGATTCCTATTTCACCCAGAATTGTGCAGCCCTAGCTGACGCTTTACCAAATGGGGGGGGAATATGCAGTTTTGATAGACATTTCTGACATCCAATGGAGATATCAGTTAAATAGATGACTTCATGGACCATCTTTTCATTGGTAAATCAGATGTCACATGCTATCAGTAGACAGGAGAATGGGCGTATTCCATCTATAGTAATGGTCAAAAAAAGTGGACATACGTGGTTTTCATCGGACAGCACTGTGTAGCATGTCTCTCTTGTAGCACTGTTTCAAACATCCAATGAAATAGTTATCTTAGCAACCATCCCACTACAAACAGGGAAAACTTTGACGTGGAAGAACTTAGAGGTACTGCAAAGGGGCACTGTTGTTATCACTCATCTGGTCAAGACATCAGTAACAAAAAGGCTAGGGCTCGGGCACTTCCCAGGCTGGCACTGTAAATAAGAATTTGTTCTTAATGCTTTGCCTGGTAAAATAAAGGTTTAAAAAAAAAAAAAAAGTAAAGCAGTCATCATCAAAGAGCAACAAGAAGAGCACATACTACAAAATTATAAGGCAGGGCTAATGAACAAAGGACAGAGCTGCAAAAACAGCCTATGAGAACTTTCCTGTAGATGATTACCACAGCTGTGTGGCTCTACCCAGTCACCGAAAGGCATTTAATGAGCAGGTCCATTGTCATAACAAGCACAAAACACATACTTTCAGAAAAATAAAGAAATCTGTATATTGTGTCAGCTCGAGTTGCACTAAAACATCCGATACCTGGGGATATGATTAATATTATGTTCAATACTAGTTTCATAGTAATAATAAAGATACACTCAGTGACAAAAAAGTTAAGCACCCAGGAAGAGTGATGGAAATGAAATAATAATAATAAATTTTATTTATAGTGCACTTTACATTTTACAAAGAAAATCTCAAAGTGCATACAGACAGTGGAAAAACATTACATTAAAAAAACAGCATTAAAAATAGGAATAAAATATTTAAACATTAAAACAATCATTAAGAACATTGGCTAAAAAGAAACGTTTTCAGGTTTTTTTTAAAACATGTCACAGTCTGTGGAGCCCTCAAATGTGGAGGTAGGGCATTCCACAGCTGTGGGGCAGCGCAGGAAAAGGCCCTATCTCCAGTGGTACGGGAGTGAGTCCTGGGAGGGAGGAGAAGGTGTGCATTGGTGGAGCGGAGAGTGAATGGGTGACAGTGGGGAGTGAGAAGTTCTTTTAAGTATACAGGCACATTACCATGCAGACATAGGAAGGTAAGCAGGGAGATTTTGTAGGTGATCCGGGCAGAAACGGGAAGCCAGTAAAGGGAACGGAGCACGGGGGTGATGTGCTCGTGTTTCCTCACTCTCATCAGGACCCTGGCAGCACAGTTCTGAACATACTGATGTTTTTGTATGTTTTTGCCAGGAATCCCGATGAGAAGCACGTTACAGTAATCCAGTCTGGAGGAGACAAAGGCATGCATCAGAAAGGGAAAGTGTAGGCCGGAGTTTAGCAATATTTCTGAGACGGAAAAAGGAAATTTTGCAAATGTGCTTGATATGGCTTTCAAAAGTGAGTTGAGGGTCAAAAATAACACCAAGGTTGGGGACTGTTTTAGAAAGGGAAATGTTCTGACCGGAGAAAGAGATACTGAAGATTTTTTGTTGTTGAATTTGGTGTGGAGTACCAATTTGAATCACTTCAGTTTTTGAGCTGTTAAGATGAACGAAATTTTGTTCCATCCATGCCTTTATCTCATCCCACTTTCGAAAGGAAGGGGAGGTTGGAAATGGGTCTGTAATTTGCCAGGTCTTGAGGGTTCAGGTTAGGCTTTTTAAGGAGGGGGTTTGATTATGGCTGATTACAGAGTGCAGGGAACATAACCAGACTGGAGAGATTGGTTGATGATGGTAGTAATAAGGGGGCTGAGGGAGGCCATATTTGCCTTGACCAGGACTGTTGGGAAGTGGTCAAGAGCGCACGTTGAGGGTTTCATGGCCCTATCTATCACTGGTCTGCACATGTACCAAATAACATCCAAATCAGACCATTACTTCTGGGTGCTTACCTTTTTTTGTTACTTTGTGTATTTTTTTTCTTATTGATTACTGCCCCCTAGTGAGCACAGTACAGGAAAAGCAAATTATGGGAAAATTGTGGGAAAAAAGATATACAAATGCCAGCGAACAATTTTTTGCCCATGTCTTTTCCATTAAAAGCCAAATTAAATGTAGCATATGTAATACAGAATCTGATGATATTTTAAAAAAGTATATTCACCCTTTGATTTATACACAAAACATATTGAGTTGTGCGGCAGGTGAAAAGGTACTGGTGCTTCACACATCCATGGTTGGGGATTCAGATCCCATAGTGTATAACTGGGGGTTGACACATGGGGGCTTAAGATTGCTTACCTGTCCTCTTGATGATCTCCCACACAGCTGCAGGCGTGGCTGGCACCATTGACTTCTGGTCAAGGCAGAGCTTTCCGATGTTGACGATGTGGAAGCCGTCCACGTCCTTCTCTGGGGCGACAGCGTTGCAGACTGCTCGCTCGTTTATGTGCTCTGTGCGGGACAAGAAAAGCAGCAGAAGGACTGAAACCGTCAAAGTCCCCTGATGGTGGGCAGAACAGTGAAACAGTCAGCTATGGACAGTACAGGAATGCTAACTCAATGTGAACAGCAGAGCAAAGATTCACAATTCATCTTATATTTCCACTCATCAGGGTTCTTGCAGGTTTAAGTAAGTTAAATTTAAGACCTTTTTAAGACCTTTTAAGACCATTATGAGTAAAATTTAAGACCAACACGATGCATTACTAGAAACAATTGAATGATACCAGAAATTCTCATATTTTATGTCACTCATATCCTTAGTCAAACATCCACATATCATGTGTTTAAAAAGTGCGTTTTAATACGTTTACATGTGTTTAAAGCATGTGGGAGGGGTATTTTAAGGCTCAAAGTACAAAAGTTTATTTATATGGTCTTTCTATATCGCGGATTTTCACCTATCGCTGATGAGTCTGGAATGCATATTCCACAATAGGCGGGGGATCACTATATATACCCCGTATTTATGTGTGTGTGCGAATAAAGAGTAAAATGGAATAAAAAAAATAGTACAATTCTGGGTTATTAATAATCATATATCAGAACTGTAATACTTCATACACTTTACATATGCCATGAGGTACCAAACTGTGTTTAATAAAAGCTGGATGGGGAAAAAAAAAAAACAAAGAACATTGGACACGACATCAGGAATCAAATGCTTATTTTTTTCAGATATGAGATAGCAGCCTAAAAAAACTAAAAACAAACCAATAAAAACATTGTGATATAATATAAAACCTCTACCTGTGTCTGATTTTTAGCTGTACATTTACTGTGTCACGTCTTTCGGCGGAGAAGCAGCACAGATGCCGTGAGATCGGGTGAAGGGTTTATTAAAAGGGAGACAAAACAGGAACATCGAAGAAACGCAAGTCGGATGTCAATGACCGGACTGGGAAAAACATACCTAACGCAGACTTAAATACATTGGACTAATGAAAACAACTGGAAACAGCTGAGGACATGGGGATTCCACAGGATGTTACCGAGGGGGCGTGGCACATGGGAGGAGTGGTCGAGTGGGGCATGACATACTGCATGCTGCACTTTTAATCAGATCTTTTTTAGATTTTCTAAGCAATTTTTATTCAAATAAGTTTTTTTCATTTCTATTTTGCTTTCTTGTCTTGGCATGAAAAACTCTGTAAAAGTAGAAATGTGTATTTTACGGTAAGATAACGTGAGCCAACTGGCTAGTAGTTGCCTTAACTGAAAAAATTCACTCCAGTCAGAGAAAAAAGTTACTAATGCACTACATCAAAACATACTACAGTACATGACAGCCATGTAGTATGGCATGAAATAAATAAACTTGTAACTATATCATTCAGTAATACAAATAATAAAACAACATACCATTCACATTGGCCTCAAGAACTAAGTTAGCACTTGATTCCCCTGCACTTCCTGTTGTGGCTAAGCGTGCACCTGATGTCAGTGGCTGAGCGTGCAGATGGCTGAGAGTGGACGTTCTGCAGCCACACCCTTCTCAAACTGGATGGTTGCCTAGCTGCAGTGATCACGCAATGGGATTTGTAGCTTTATTACCACGCAGACACCGGTGCAGACCAGAAAACACAACCAACGGATTAGTTCTACAGCGTTTTTACTATTTTCTGCGGACAATGCTTCTTGGGAATGAACTGAGGTAAGAATTTTAAGACTTGGGTGAATTAAATTTAAGACCTAGGATGAAAATCTGGGAATTTTTAAGACATTTTAAGGCCTTAAATTTAACTTTCTGAATTTTAGACTTTTTAAGACCCTGTGGGAACCCTGACTCATGCACATCACATAAGCCAGAAGTACAGAAAACTCCTGCTATATAAGACCACATCACTTGACAAAGGCGGCTTCATGCATCGCAGCATTTGTCAAGTGACTGTATTGTCTTGACAGCCATGTAGTTACCAGGAAGAGGAAGCTGAACCAGCAGGCCACTGACCCTCCAGTCTCTATTCAGTCTATAAATCATTTCCAGAAGCTCCTCTTGTGACACAGAGCTAGGCCTCAGCAGAGTCTCACTAGAGATACCTGGAGAAGTGGGCCATCATAACAAAAAAGCTTGACTACAGGTAAATGAATGATGTACATGCATTTGTTCAGCAACTTTGAACATTCTGACAAGTTACTGTCTGGTTATCCTCTACATTTCTCTCTATAATGCAAACATCACTACTATTACAACGTGAATGGATGAAATGCCAACTTATGACTAAGGCAGAAGGCCTGTCACTAAACCATAAATGAAAACAAGGGCTGCTGACGTTGGACACTGACTCACCGAGTGCCGCTGCAGCTCTTGTCTTGTTCCTGACATAGGTGTGACTGGCTGGGTTATCCCCCACCACGATGACGCTGAGATGAGGCTGCTTATTGCCAAAGGAAACCCACTCCTCCACATCACACTGTACTTCCTTGTGGATCTGCCTTGCCAGCTCTTTTCCTGAGATCACCATAGCAGTTTGGCTGCACAGGAACCAGCTTTGTATCTCAATATTATATTTCACGTAAATGAAAAAATGCTTGGGAGGTGGCATAATCTAAACAGTTACACTAATAGGGTGACTAACCAAGAATCAGGGATTATTATTTATCATGCAAGTCTACTAGTTGCACAAGGTAAGTATTAAGAATGCTTTTAGTTTTAAGGACCGGTAAATCTCCGTTGCTGCTTCCACGTGATTTGTAGGCTACTTTCGAATTCAGTTGCAGCATTAAGGTAATATTGCTAAGCGTGATGTACAAAGACGTCAAAATCCTACGTCACTCTACTCGGTGACCAAAGCCCTTTTGCGGTTAGTTGAATGTGGCATTGTTTTTCATAGCCATCTGAGCAGCCGCCGTCATTGTGCGACATCCCATACATACCTCCATGCATGGCGGCACATAATAATGCATCGCTAACGTTAAAAGTAACATAACGCGGTCTGAACCTGCTCCCACTCGCGTGTTTCTGCAATGAAAACCACTGCGAGGAACACGGTACGAATGTCCTGTCAGTGTCACCAGCGCCCGTGAAACCAATGAATCCTGAGCATCCATATCGTGCAGTGCGTGTAAACTGAGGACATTTTTCTCACCTGAACGCCGATTGATGGAAGCATCTCTGCAGCCCACTGCACTTCCTGAAAATCCTAAATTTGTAATGACAGCTAGGCTGGAGAACGCTGCTGGATAGCTTGAAGGAGGAGCATAGTGGTGAGACAGAAGCGGCCATGTTTGCCGAGCGCTGTGTGCGCCAGCGTTTGCTGTGGATTTGACAGGAAAGGAGGAGCCGGACAAATAGGCGTCCGGCGCTGGCCTCCAGCTACGTGAGAGCAACGCGGCGCCGCACGTGCTGCCAAAGGGGTCGGTCCCCCGAAATCACGAGTGACAATTTTATTTTAAGCGCAAGCTTTTTGTTATAGTCTTAAAGCTCGCGCTGTTATCCGACGAATCCTATCAGTTCAGAATCCGATGCCTTTGTTTTTTTTTCCCAAAGGAGCGCCTCTGCTCTGTTGTCACATTTTTGGCGAAATCCGCAATCCGCTTGCCATTACATTAATACATTACAAATTAGGCTGGCATTGTATAGTAACGTCGGTGTTTTAGACGCGGTGTCTTTGTTTCACATATGGTATTTTTTGTTGAATTAGAAATAACTATATACAAAATAGCACAGAAAGTTGCTGAAAGCCCGTACCAAAAATTCCAGAAATTAACCAACCCGGAAATAAAATACGTAACGGCACATTTGTAACAAAAGACGCACTATGATATCATTAGGATAACAGTTCTTGACAATATTGTATTTTACATTGCCCAGTAATGAATTCCACTTAAGACACATGTACTGAACCACTAACCGCATGTAACATCTTTTAAAAAAGGAGAGAATTACAGTTAGATTCATCTTTATTTACAATGAAGTCCTGACTCAAAAGGGTTAAAAGAGAACATTAAGATCAGTTTATCAGGATTCATTAGACTACATTTCTCTGTTTTTGTACAGACTCCATTCAGATTTATCTGAACAGAACTAAAGCCCTCAGCATGAAGGCAAAATGGGGAAAGGAGAGGGAAACAAAATAATAAATGAAAAACCTAAGCTACAGCACAAAAAGAAATACTATACAAATATGGGAATAAAAGAAATCACTCCATAAAAAAGAAACACTTTTGAAATTATCCTCCGTTATATTAACTATTATCATCAGCAGTGTTATGAGGTGAAGGTGACACTGCTGCTTAATAGTCTTTAATGTGCGGGTTGTCCCAGATTGTAGTCATTCATTTGCCCAGTTGTTCTGTCCTTCTGCACAGCCAGGTCAGGAAAAATGATGTGAAGGCCAGCACTCAGAAAGGTCATTGTCCCGAAGGCTCTGACCCCTAAGACGTGTCCAATTCACCCTTTTTGTCCACTTCGTGTCACGGCACGGCTAGCAGAGCTGTGGTTGCAATGTGAGGAACTGCAAAAGCTGTACATTTGGCATGCAGGGCCAAAGATTTTATACATAATGGGGCCACCAACCACAAGGTCTCAACTGAACTCACCTCACGCTTTGGAGTTTCTGTGTGCAGGCATGGACGCACGAGGGCACACACACACGCGCATACACACACACACTCCCACCAACTGGTCCAGTTGTTTTTATAACTATAAACAAAGAACAAAGAGTGGAATGACCATCCAAATTAAAAAAGGTCTGGGGGTGGGGGATAAATGATTTAAATCACAGTTCTTAAGGTCCAGGATTTGGGTCCAGAGTTACAGTTCAGAATTTTTATCCTCAAGTCCACACACTTCATAAAGGCCTAGCAATACATTTACATCAGGCCTCAAACACACCAACAGCGAGAGACGGTCGTTAGTGTTGTTGCCCAGTGCTATTCACTCACAGAATGTCATGGGGGGTAGCATTATCCACAGGGAAACAAACATCTGAAAGCACCATCACCTTCCGCCCCCTGGGGCAGAACAGCGGAGCCCGATACGAACCTACTGGTCCTACTGCTACTAAACAGCATTTGAACAAGCTGATGAACACATGTTGAACTCAATGGCAATGAAAAGAAATTTGCCACCAATGCTCTAGAACAGTGTTTCCCAACCCGGTCCTGAGGGACCATCAGAGAGTCCACGTTTTTGCTGTGTCCTGTCTGGCAAGGAGTTGGAAGGAAGCAAAAACGTGGACTCTCTGGTGGTCCCTCAGGACCGGGTTGGGAAATACTGGCCTAGAAAAGCATTATCTGTCTGCCTAACATAAGCCACCTTCCTCAATCTAATAATAAGGGGGCTGCACAACTCTCAGTGGAGTGAATATACACCAGTAAGCTTTATGTGACCCACCCATATAAGCTTGAGTGTACAAATCCATACAGAATATTTAACTGGTAGCACCACGAACAATATAAGTTGGTAATTACAGTCCTTTTCCCCAATTTTATTCAACTTTCCTAATATAGAGAACATTTTTTCTCTAGGAGTGATAAGGGGGGCAGTGCCATTTATATTTCTATTAAAAAAACTAATTTGAGAAAATAATTTACAAATGGTTAATAATGTGCATAATCAGTGCTACTTAAATTGTTCATCAATTTCTTTCCATCGAAAATATGGCACAAAATTTTAAACCAACATTTTAGAAAGTTGTCACTTCCAATAACTTCCATTTTTTCCAAACAATAACAGGACGTGTCATGTGAGTACAGTCCCTCAGGATGAAATTTCCTCACCTCTCATGCTCACTTGCCTGGTTTCCTATTGATTTACTACAGTATGCAACCAAAGACAATTGCTTTTACCTGCCACATTGACACGTACCCTTCTAGGTCTACAGGTCCGTACCTAGTCACTACCATCATTGCAACAGAACAACAGCGTTTTCCCAATCCTCCTATAAATTTTACATTTCAGGCTAAAATCAGCACAATATGTTAAGTTACCCACGCACGCACACACACACACACACACACGCACGGCAAACTTATGTGCGTCTTTACACACACGTATACTGGCATACCTGGTTGCACACAGAAATGCTCTCACGCTTCCTTACACACACAGACAACACACAAATATACACCAATACATATTCTTAAAAAAAAATTAGCATAAACTGTTAGTGGGGAAAAAAATTCCTGAACGAGAGGAAAAAAACTTGAATAAAAGCAAAAACAGAAAAAGGACAATGGACAGAAGGGGACAAAGGGAAAGGAAGTCAGCAGAGCACTGGGGTTGGATGCTGGGGTGAATGAGTCCCAGGTCCAGGCTGCATACCGGCCCTAGCAGCCATACTGCTGCCTTGGCTGTCCGTAGGAGGCTGCTGGAGGTCCTCGCCACTACATTTCATGGCGATGTTTTAAAAAAAAATACAACAATAATAATAATCAGCTGCGTCTGGAAAAAACGAACAAAGGCGAACGTGGGGGGCTGTGGTCACATCCCCAAAGCCGTCCCCTAGGGAGGCTCAGACTGACAAAGACAGCATGGGGGGGGGTTAACAGATGACGACCCCTGTGTGAGGATAGGCATGCAGATGATCGGGGGCAGTGTGGGGTGGGGATCGCGCACACACTCTCTGGCATCTATGTCCTTGAATTGCACCTCTATCTCTTGCAGCCATGACCAGAGGCAGAGGGAGGGTGTAAAGGCAGGAGGAAGGGGGTGGGTCACTGTGAAAGCCCCCCCTCTCCCAATACTGTCTCTCTCGGCATCCTGTTGGGGTCGGGAACAGGGGGTGTCCGTCCCATCCTCTCCCCCGAGGGCGGCGGTCTGCTGCTGGCAGTCCATCATACCTCCAGGAAGCGCGAGCTGCTGGATTTGGCATGAAAGGGCTCTGACCACATGCGTCGCAGGTCCCCCTGTGCAGGCAGCGCAATCAGGGTACATGCATTTGAGAGAGAGAGGGGGGGGGGGCATAAAAGCAGCCGCAGGTGTGAGAAGCTTATCCACAGCAAACGGGTTAATCACTCATTTACAACTTTGAAAACTATAATTACTCTCCACTGCTATCTCAAAATTAACACCATGTTTTAGCAAATTTTGCAGTATTATTTTGCAGTACAGTTTACAGTAACAGTGCAAATAAGTTTGCTCTCTCTGCATTAAAATTCATTCGAGAGACTACACGCAGTGGCCAATTCATCAATTTCTACACAACCACACCCACAAAGCACCTTGGATATGTATGGACTGAATATCTGACATTTTACAGAGCACTTTCCAAAACCTGTCATTTAATCAATTTATTACAAAAAGTTACAGATTGTTACAAAGAATTTACTGGTTTGGTTCAACACCAAGGCTGAGGTCTGTATCAGTAAGGAATGGCTTTCAAAGGATAATCTTAATAACATTACACTGAAATGCCACTAGAGGGCGAACTCAATCAGACAGGTTTAAACTGGTGTAATAATATAATCCAGGGATTTTAGTTGTTAGTTTCAAAATCAGGTCTGAATTCTGACTAAACATTTACATGTTTCAGAGATTAACATTTTAAAAGCACTGAAAATTAAGCCAAATTAAAATGGTTAACAAGTGAAAATCCACAATTCTACCATATAAATATTTAGGGAATACAATTATAACTGAGATATACCAAAGTCCTGTACTCTTTATCTAAACAGCCCCCTTCAATGCTTGGTCATCCTCTTTAGAATATCTTCAGAGAGTACAGTCGAACCCCCTCCTGGCTTTAAAAGTGCCTCCCACAGGGTGAATACAGACTGGTCATCATATCCTTTGAGAAAACCTTAGACTGAGATGTTAACCCAACACCAGCTTTGCTGCCACATTTTACAGCCCAAAATGGTCACAGGTTCACCACAGGGCCCATACTAAGAACCCACCATCTCTACACTCTGATCTGGATCAGAACACACTGACCTTCAGATAAGCCATGGTGAGCAGCGGCAAAAGGGTGAAGGGCACGAGATACAGCAAGGCGGGCTGGGCGGCTCGGTGGATCCTGGAGGCCACGGTGGCTGTTAGGAGACCTGGAAGCAGGGGTATCATTCACTTGACACATGCTCTGATCACATAGGCAGCTTATGGGAACCCTGTGATTCATTCTGTAACTCCACCCACTTAAATCCCACCTTACTCTTTCCTGTAATGCCTCCTCGCAGTCTGGGACTGTCCCCCCCCATGCCCAGTAACCATACCCCTCAAACTCCCACACTGACTGTCTCCCCCTCTGCTCTCACCAACAAAGTATCCGATGAGGGTGCAGTGGAAATAGGAGACACGCTGCATGCGGCCCGACACGTTGCCGGGCCCCAGCGTCTCGCCAGTGGCCTGCTTCTTGTAGTTGTCGTAGCGCAGAACGAAGCAGAGCAGGAGGCCCGGCATCACGATATCCCCGATGCCAAGCATGGAGAAGTGGCTTCCCGTGGAACTGCCAGAGGAGAAAAGCAGCACATATGTCAATCTCCATCTCAGAGAGGACACTGCCCTACAGGAGCACTATGCTTTACTCTGCATTTTGGCAAGCATGTGCATCAATGTGTTGTCGGCAGTCTGTACCAGTGCATTGTAAGGCACAGTGTTGGCTTCACAATGTACTTCTCCATGAAGAATTTTAAGCCCATGGCTCTAACATCTTTAAAGTGGACAATTATAATCTGAATCCCTAAATATTCAACTCTGACCTCACCCATACCAAGCACTGCTTGAAAGCCTGTGACCCCTTTCAAATACAGTATTTTAGGCTAATCTTATAATCTGTGATCCAGTGTTTGATGCAGATAACCTGAATGAGACAGAACACACACGTGCATATCCGCACACGCATGCATGCACGCACGCACGCACAGTTTCTTGACCATCCTATTAGTTTTTTCACATTAGTACTTAACACACATGACCTGAAATTCACAGCGTTTACGAGTAGGTGAGCCTTTTCATTTCAACACTGCCATATGGATAACCTCCAACGAGTACCAATCAATCACTCTTCCATATCTTCTCATTCCCACCTGATAGTACCACTTCATCAGCTCCTGATTTACCGGTCATTTTGTACAAACAGCCTGCTTCAGCATTTGCCACAACATTTAGATTAGGTCTGGATTCTCACTGGACTTTTACTTCGACTATTACAAAGCACATTATTTTACTTCTCAGCATCACTGTCAAACTGCAAATACCCATTTGACTTAAGTTTGAACGCATGTCTGGCCAGATCTGCCAAGATCTGTTTGACAGAATTAAAATTTCTTGAATGACCGCAAATTGTCCAGGTTCAAAAGTGGAAAAGCAGCCCCGAAGCATAAAGCATGAACCATTATGTTTAACAGATGGGCAAGTTATCTGTTTGTCTGTAAGGTTTTTGCTAGCTATAGTATTTTTGATTGTGGCAAAAAAGTTAGTTATCACACCCGTGTAAAAAAAAGTTATCACACCCGTGTTAGTTAAAAGTTAGTTATCACACCCCATACTGGTTAAACAGGACACAGCATTTTAGTTTATATAGCCCATGACATGTTTGCAATTCATTATTAAATCTGACCAGCAGATCGAGCTTTTGTTTTCAACAGAATGAAAAACAGTGTAGTTTTATTCCACTAATAAGTGCTGGCGAGTTTCATTGTTGTCACTGGCGATACTAGAAGCATGTTGGTTATTGATCAGATTTTCTTATTCAGAAATATGGAGAAACAAGCTTCTATATGGAGACACAAGAGATATAAAATTGCATCTGCACAATTTGTCCTCCACTACTTCTATCTCGTCTCCCTATACTTCAATGTAACTTCCAAGTTAGTTCCGATGGTTATGGCAAATCAGTCAGCAAAGTTTATAAGCCCCACCCCGTAGTCCTTTGTTGAGCAAAAAATACCTACACACAAAAAAAAAAAAAAAAAAAGGTTCAGGAACTCTGAGAAATTCAAATTGGGCCAAGTTCCCGTAGTGGGGGGACCGTAATGATCTTTTTCATAGCAAAGGTATTCCCCCAAGGTTAACCCATGAATACCACTGATAGTTGGGGGTTGTCTGGGATAACCTACATTAGATTTTTTTCAGATTAATTTGAAGGACACCCACATCTAGGCAGCCTACCACAGTTTTAGGCAGCTGTGTGCCTTCTAAATTTATAGATGACTTGCGTTACAGTGAACAGACAAATATTTTGCAATGATTTTTATAACACTGGCAAAAACCAATGAGCATTGCAACATGTTTTCTGAGGTCTGACGAGATTTGCCATGGAGTATTACATCGACTTGTTTGATTTAGGGAAAATCTTTTTTTTTTTTTTTTTTTTTTTTTTTTTTGCCCACCACCACCCCCCCTCTTCGGAGGACAACTTTATTTTACCGTGGAAAAGGAGAAAAACAGGGGGGGTACAAAAACAACAGCGTAACAATAACAGACATCAATCACCATGGGGAGAGGGGGAGAGAGAAAAGAAAAAAAAAAAGGTATACAGAAATAATAACACTAATAATGTAGGCGGGATGGAAAAAAGATGAAGTATAGGGGAATACAGAATACAAACAACCATAAGAAACATAACACTCATCAAACAACAAGAATTATAACAACATCAGTGATACTAATAATAATTAATACAAATCGGTATTATATATATGTAGCATACACACACGTAATCGTACCGTTATATATGTATATTTCAATTCCTAAATCTATAACATACCCTAAAAAGTAATAATAATAATGATATTGATCGCTCAACCAGTCTTGTATGCATGTGCAAGTGTAGGTGTGACCTGATTTGTCATTGGATGTGCTGGCATTTAATGCCGTCAGGGGAGGCGGCAGCACCCCCCCCCCCCAGGCCCAAGGCGAAGGCAGGAGAACCAGGCAACCGAAGCCACCCTACTGCCCCCCCGGCACAAGGGCCCACAGCCACGCATCCCAGAGACAACCACCCGCCCAACCCGAGAGGGAGCCCGCGAGGGACTAAGGGGGCGCCAACCCCTGCACAGGGAGGCCCGCAGAGGGAGGACGGGCGGCGAGCCCCCCAGCCCCACCCGCAACCAACCCACCGGGGCAGGCGGGTCCAGGGCCGAAGGGCCCCACCCACCGGGACCACCCCCCCCACCCCCCGGCGGACGGCCCCCCACACACCGGGGGAGCCCCAGCCCCCCCAGCCCGTCCCTACATTTTTTAAAGCATGGACTGGTCTTAATTAAACAATAATTTGATGGTAAAAATACCACATTTCCAGATGTCTCGAGAATTACATCAGGGGTTCATAAACCACTAAGAACCACGTAATTTTTCAATTTGACACCAACAGCATATGTTGTCCATTTTCTTTTGTGCGCATGTACATCACACAGGATCCCGGCTTGCTGGATGTCCTACCTGGGAAAGACCAGTTTGCCAGGCAGGGAAAGGCGAGGCACGTCACGGCTGGGCCCCAGGTGCAGCTTCCGGGACAGCACGTCCAGGGGGTTGTCTGCCGGCTGCGTGGCCACCTTCACCATCACATTGCTGTTGAAGATGTAGGCTGAAAAGAAGACCTGTGGGAAGAAGAGGAGTGGCCCAGTGGGTGTGGGGCACAGCTGCTAAGATTCCCACTCATTTCCACCTCAGGCATGATCAAACTCTATGCTTGTATAGACAGCAGTCATGTTCTACACTCATAAAGATGTACCATAACAAGGTTATGAGAAATAAACCATGCGACTGAATCCTATGTCAACAATATGGCAGTTATTTTAAGCTAAGAAATAATGCATATGAATTAAAACCCTCTCTATAATTTGGCTGAGAGTAAAGATCTGCCTGTTTAGTACCTGTTGAGTAGAGGATGGATTCTGAACACTAAGCTGTTTGTGAGCCAGGCCTACATCACTATCACCTTAATACTGTTTATTACACACCCTGCATGCTCCATAATCTGCAGGCGAGTGCCTTGCTACTGCTTACATAAATCCTCAGACTACCCGTTGCACTGTCAAAGCCTAGTACACATAGGCTCTTTCAAACTACATCTACTGCCATATGAAATAACAGGAAATTTCTTTCAACATCCCTTCTGCTCCCCCCACTCAAGGCTGTCCAGCCCTGAGCCCACAGAACATCAAGTGGACACAGATAACCCGGCTAATGACAGTGAAGAAATCCTGCCTCTGCAAGATTAACTGGGTCAATGGCCGTCTACACCAGGGCTCCCCCTGCTTCCAGTGAGGAAGATGATCTGCTGTACATTATCAGGTTTTATTTATATACATTATAAATTATATATATTGTTTGTGATTGCACTTTTCATCCACACTGTTCACCAGTACTACTCACCTGGACTGAAAGGATGGTTATATTTTTTCCCAGTCCACAATGGGGGTGCCCTGTGGTAATCTGCTTGCAGCAATACGAGTACTGTGTCATGCCCTAACAAACGGCAGGAGTGCCTGTTGCCGACATCCCACCCAAAAGCTAAACTCTGTGAGACAGACATGACCTTACCCAGAAGACGTCGTAGATGAGCAGTCCAGACAAGAGTAGGCAGGACACCTTCAGGCTGGGTAGGCGCACAAAGGCGATCATGGCCACACACAGTCCCATAGCCAGAGCTGTTGGGACAAGGCTACAAGTAGTGAGACAGAGGGTGTGAGACAGGGGGAGCGATTGGGTCTGGGGGCAAGGGCTGACCATACCGTCCATGAGCAGCCAGTGTCCTGTCAGTACCCAGATCAGCACCAGCATGACCGAGAGGGAGAAGGACAGCAACTCAGCCAGGGTGAATCGCCCACAGCAGCCAAATGAGATCCTGCCAGAAGACAGCAGTGCATACCCTTCCGTTTACACGGGCGTTTCATCCATTCCATGACTCCAGCACAGCAAATGCCACAGGCACCATGGTGACACTTACTTGTTCTGTGGGGAGCAGGGCCTGGTCAGGTACTGGCACATGGGCAGCAGAAGAAAAGCAAACGCTATGGTTGCAAGAACTGGAGAAGCAAGAGGACAGATGAAGTGAATGGGCCACAATGCAGCCTTTATGGAAAAAGCTAATAAATAGTGAAAAGATCAAGCAAGTGCTGTCAAATAGCTCTAGCGCCATTTTAAGAGACATCAGTCAGTGTCAGAGTCCTGGTGAGTACTGCATGAAATATGTCACTTATTTCTAACAGAAACTCCATAGTAGTGGTGTTCTTACATTTTACTATAGAGATTATCGCCGTCAGTAGAAATTCAACAGCCAGGCAGTTGCCAGGATGAGGTCAAATGTTTATGACATGTCACAAGGTGAGGGAATGGTCACTGAATGCATTCATACCAGACTGTTGTTGGCTCTAAGCATCCCTGGTAAAATAGCTTCCCAGGTCCCCAAGAGGCACATAGAGCACCTATGAGTACATCTGATTGTCAAGAACACAGGGACATGTGAGAACCTGTGCTTCTGCCGTCCTAGTCTGCCTGCAGCTCCAGTGCCAGAACTGCACTCTAAAAGCTGAGCCATCTGAGGGACCAAAGTGAAGTGAGCTGTCAAATTAAGCCACGGAACCCAGTATTTGGGGCATCCAATGGACTGGTTTGTCCTTGGAATCCTCCAAAATGGGTTTTGTCAGAAAGTAAGAGAAAGTTATGGATCCTCTAAATGGCAGTAAGCCCAATTACCTGCTGTGCATACGGTGAAGACGACCTGGACCGAGTCGAAGAAGAAAAACATGACAAGGAGAGACACAGAGGCCCCGATGGGTAGAAAGAGAGCTTGTGTGGAGTCGATGGTCTGAATACCTGTGGATGGAAAGATGGACAGCTGTCTAACGAAACGCTCTACCCACTTTACCCATGCCCTAATAGTCTAGTCTAATCTGTGGTGTCAAACCTACATCTTCCTAGAGCTGGGCGATATAGCCAAAAATATCACAATAAAAAATTCATATCAGTCAATAATGATGATTACTGCGATAAATGTAAACTTATTATTTCTCTCCAGTTTAAAGGCTGATTTTAACTCCTGAGTTATAATCAAAGAAACCAGATGATTAATCGTAGTTATAAACTTTATCATCAGAACAAAACAAACACTTGCCAAACAGTACTGATGGCCAAAATGATGCTTTTGGAACAATTTGTTCTATTTTCTGACCCCAGAAGATGTGGCACTCAGTTTGAAAAAAAAAGGCTAAAAGCGTGCTGGAAAGGAAACCAAAAGCGCCAAATGTGCCAAACAACATTTCGCATTTCACAAATCCGTGACGAACAGATTATTTTAGTGACTGAAAAACACCGCCGCTGGCATTCATCCTATCGTTTTTTAATTCTCTGTGGAGTATTGCTCTCAGGATTTCTCATGGACTGAATTTTACTGTGGACTTTCCTTTTGGATTTTTCTGAAGTACTCTTATTGAACAGGTTGTTTTGGACTTCCCTGCTCTCTCGGTAAGTTGCTCTGTAGTTTTGACGGTTTTATTGTCTGCCTACCTGCCCTATTGCATTGTTATTTGTTCAATAAATCCCCCATTTTCATAGCTGTGTTTGTGCTTGTGCTCCACTTCTGGTCCAGTCAAGTAGTCACAGAGAAAATGACCTCATCCTGTGATGCAAAGCCTGTCGCCAGCAACAGGTTTTGTGTTAAATCATATCAAACTCATATGGAGCATTTGGCACATCGATATTGTGAAAATTATATTGCAGTAATTATACAGTAGCTATAGTTTTATCGCCCAGCTCTACTTCTTGCACAAAAATTTACAATAAAAATTATTAGAAAAGTGGAACAGACTAATTTATATTTCTCAACAGCTATGATTAAGAGGCATTTGTTACTTCTGTACACGCAACAATTTAACAGTAGGGGTGTAACGATATACTCAGGCCACGAGATGAGACACAATATTGGGTTCAAGAGAACGAGAAGATATTTTAACAATATTTTAAGGAAAACTTCAAAGAGCCATGTGACATGGTGACGCGTGGTGACGTTTTGCATAATAGATGAATGGCTTTGCATAGTAGTCGCATTAGCCGCTGTGTATGGCATTATTTTCCTACAATGCTTACAGATGGTTCGTATTGTGTCTGCCACCCTTTTGCCGTTTATATTTTCCGCCGGGTACCCAAAATGCTGCCACACAAAACATTTAAAAGTGTCTGGGGCATCTACTATGGTAACTTAGTCAGATGCCGACAGGCTTACAGCAGCTGATTTGCAGCGCATTTTCACTCCGACGTTGTAATCTCGTCATGTTGTAATATCATGAAATCTCGTGACACAAGATCTCGTTACACCCCTATTTAACAGACTGAGGTAGTTAGCTTTGGTCTGCATAATCCTCTCCACTTTGCTCATGCTAAGCTCCCCATCCCATCTGTAAGAGCTTCCCACCGGACTCACTGTTGCTGGGATTGTTGTTGTTGAAGCTGCTGGGTGTCGCAGGATTTCCATCTTTGTCTTTCTCTTGATTCTCAAAGTCCATGTTTAGTGACCTGCACGAATGAGGGAGGATAAGACTGAGCTGAACACTTTTATGCTTAACAGTTGTATTAAATAAGCAAAAGGAAGGTATATAAACTATTTAAAAAACTATTTGTGATTTTTGAAAACAGAACATTATTATAAATAAAACTAATTAACTTTCAATGGTGTTTAAATTTCATGCAGGCCATCCTGTGCCCTCAATTCCTCCTGAATTTGAATAGCACTTCCCCTGGGGCTAGCTGGTATAACCACACTCATGTTCCTATGCCAGGATTTAGCATGCAGTTCTAAGCATTGAGTGACATACTGTGCCAGTCCCTTGTGTAGTCATGAAACTCAGCACTGATGTTCTGACCATTAGCCTGGGTATTACTGCTGCTAAAACAGATATCTGATACACGCTGTTTGCAGCCCATGTACATTAGTATAAAAGGTGCTATTTCTGGCTTTGGGCACTGAGACACGTCAGGACAGTGCTTAACCTTTATGGTATATGGACAGTTTCCCTTTGTTCGAGGCAGGGATTAAAACAATTATATTCCTCATACTCATTAAGTGCAAAATAAAATAATGGGGATCCTAACAACGATTATTAGCACCTGAAGACTGCAGATATCATTGCTTGCTCCCAGTTTACCCAGATAACATATACATACAACAAAGAAACCTGGGTGGCAGCCAAGTGACGCCCAGGCTGGATGCAGACTAACGACTTCCATCTCTTATAAATGACTCCACGGCATGTTGCATCACGTCACTGCGACTATGAGATTCCCAGTTCAGGAAGTAGGTCGGTTACACCCTCTTCCACCAATGTGCATTATGAAGGCAGGTCAATGACGCCAGCAGAGGTCTGTTTTAATCTTAATTGACAGGCAGGAAGAGGGAACACGGACAGGCTACTGGCTACTGCCAGGAGACCTGGGCCTGAGGCCAGGCTGAGCTTCTTGTGCCTGCCAGTACTTTCACCAATTTGTGGCAACAGGCACTTGGATGGATTATTCTGAACTGTTAATGCTCATTAATAGCAGGATTTTGCAAGGAAAACTTGTGATTCAGTACAGGACGTTAGCAACTGTCAATGCAGATGCGTCTCAAAATGTAACTTGGTGCCATAGTTACTAAAGTGGTATTTAACCCCCGATTAAGAAAATGGATATTAGACAAGATTAATGTAATCTACCAAAATCTTCTCAAATTAGTTCCTAAATCACATGCATGACAGCATGAAGCTCAGATGCATGCATAAGATGGAAAAAAGGACCTTAGATTTAAATTTTCTATGTCCAGTCAGAAACAAATTATTTCAACCATCACAAGATAAGGTTATATTACACAAGTCAATGAATGAAATGAGAATTCTGTATCTTTTGAATAAAAGTCATCTACTGGCACCAAACATATATGCCCCAGGCACAAACTGAGTGCCATGAAACATGACTAACATACAGCCACTGAAATCTTGACATGCTTAGTAGGAGGAATTAAAAGTCTAACCAAAGCAATAACACAAATGACGAGCCTAAGTCAATACTCTAGTAGCCTAGCCTTCTACTCAGTTTTAAGCCTATAACACACCAAGGTATTTCATGATGCCTTAAAGTCCCAATGTAACCTTAAAAACAGAATTCCATCTATCTAATCATCCATCCATTTGTGGCTCACCAGGAAGCACAGTGCATGAACCAGGAGTCAACATGGAACACAGTTTTTATTACAAATATAAAAAAGCACATCATTCTAATTTTAGGTCACAAGATCATGCCAGGGCTCCAGACTGCGACCAAAATGGTTATGTATGCAACCTTTTATTGAGTGTGTGCAATTTTAATTTCATTTGGTCGATTCTGTGCCAGTGCATCATAATCATTAGGATATTTTGCTCCTGTATGGGAACTGTGTTAAGAAATTGCGACTGATTTTTTTTCCTTCTTCCCTGGTTCAGTGTCTTTTTTTTTTGCTAAATTGATCTCTACTTGCCTACATTCAGGAGTACGTACATATATGCGCATTGATGATAAAACGTGCAAAACCATGGTATAAAAGCGAAGCTGTGGTGTTAAAAAAGGAAGCTGTTTATAGCTGGTTATTAATAAGAAAAAAAAATCAAAAAAAGAGGAGGAGGTTGGTGGAGAGGGAGAGCCAAAGAGAGGTTCCCGAGACAAACGCAAGTAATGGTGAGTGTTAGATGATTAAAGCTGGTGTTCAGATTAAAATATTTGGCGAGAACAGTAAGGACACTTTCCATTGCACCTAGTACTGTACTTTTGGTACTCTGGTAAAAAAAAAAGAAAAATTTCAGGTGCAAAGGTTTTTCGAATGGATTTAGGATATTTTGAGGGTGCTGAATTTAAAAAATCCCATTATTTTTGCTGAATTGGTTCTAGTTTTTGAGATAATGGACATCCATGAAAATAATGCATTCCCCCAATGCGACTTAACAAAATGCAATAGCTTTTGGTCTGTCTTTTGACTCTTTAACAGTGTCTTAGGTAATGAAATATCCCTTATAATTATTTTGTATTTCAATTTATAGGCCTACAATACTATAAAAGCGACTTTTTGAAGCTAGAATTCAACTGTCAATTTACAGGGGAAAGAAGTCAGCTACAGTATAAGTTTGTCAACCCAGTCTTGGTTTATACCCAAAAAGTTCGGTCTTAATAAATATATAAATACATGTAAAAATTATGACTTCATCAAGAAGAGCCTGCATTTACCAAATGCATGAATGACACTGAGGCTTCAGCCTGGAAGAGTTTTGTCTCAGTTGTGAAGAACTTCTTGGGTAATCAGAGCAGACAATTATGAAGAATTGGTGCAAAATATGCTTGCTAACTTGAGAAATTTGGGAGTTAATATGAGCATAAAAATGCACCATATCTCCATATCCATTTAAACAGATTTCCAGAAAACCTTGGAGACTTCAGCGAGGAACAAGGCAAGAGGTTCCACCAGGATATAAAGGTGATGGAGGAGAGATATCAAGGCAGATGGGACATACACATGATGGCAGACTATTGTTGGAGTCTCCAATGTGATTGTCCTGATGACACACATAAAAGGAAATTGCATAAACAGCGTTTTTTGAAGCATTGACATTAATAACAATTAATAACTAATATTGTATTAATCAATCAAATCATACATAACTTTTTCCTGTCACTGTTAGATATTTAAAATTTCTTTTTTGTATGATGTTAGACTGTCTACTTACTAGTTGTAACTAAAATAAAAATATTCTTGCAATTCTGAATGCTTTTCAAACGTGTTGCGTTAATTAACTATTAAATATCTCAGAAACTAGAGCCAATCTGGCAAAACCAAAGTCATATTCTTAATCAGCACCATAAACTTAATATAAAACCATTCAGACATCATTGGCACCAAAATCACTGTATACCAGTGTAATTTAAACTACAAAACAGTGCTTGAGATGGTGACTAAAATGGTCGTCAATGTGACTAGACTTTTAATTTAGTTTTTTCATTCATCGGCAATGGTGACTGCCTCTCCACAGTCCAAGAAAAATAAATAAGGCAAGAAAAGTGGCAACTTTTAATTATGTGCACTCTTAACCTGCATCTGCCTTTCCTGCTACATTATCACCCGATTGAATGGTGGATCGATCCAGAGCAGTGTGGACAGATTTATTGATAATGCTGATTCCTAATGCCATGCCAGCAACTTGAGCTCATATTCAGGGAGAGAGTAAATGGGTATTAAAACAGAGTGAAGAACCAAAAAGGTAAAAACTTCACAAATGGTTGTGAGGAACTCCACATTAAAATAGACTCAGCAGCAGATTAACCTATGGTGTTTTTCTACTGTCACAAAGAATCGAGCCATACCCAAGCTGAACTGCGAAGACATGGTTTCCATTGGAAATTGTGAGAGCTGTATCTGACACCTACCTGCGCTGACATGGTCCTGCATACTAGCAGGGCTGAAAGCGCGACTCGACTGAGCTGGTTATGTCACCACCAACTGATTAGTCGAAATGCACGGAGACAAGAAAGATCTGATCTGCATCGATATGCAATGATTATCTGAAGGAAAAAAGGACATATTCTATACATTATTCATTATTAGAAGCAATGCACATCAAGATATATTAGTGCATTCCTGGTAACTCGGAACTTCCAAACTCAGATTTGAAAAAGTACTGCAGAACAGCTTAAAAGAATGGATTCAGAATGCAAATTTGTGTAAGCTAATATTAATCTGCTAGCATTTGATGCTAACAGAACACGGCAATTCTGATAGTGGAAATTAGTACATAGCAAATCATGTGAACAGTAAACAAGGGTCTTTTGGGTTTTATGTCACAGCCGCTCTCCAAACTCGGCAGCGCCTTTACCGAGCTGACCCTTCTGTAGTGGAAAATCGAAGCAAGCTGTAACCACGCTGTAACTAGTGTCTCTTCACAGTACGGGTTGGGTATGGCCTGGTTCCTGTATGCCAGTGGAAAAGCACCACTAGCCACTAGTTTGTTTTGAGTTGATTTTCTGTGTGCAGTTTTTCTTACATTCTGTCTAAAATGTCCTGCCATTTAGTCCTTATACAGTAATATCCTTAATGTGGGTTCAGCATACTGACCTGAAGCTGCCGTAGACTATAAGAAGTATGGAGATGAGGAAAGTCGACACCTGGCTAGAGTCAACAAGGGAATATGCCCTGTGGGAGGGGAGACAAGACAATTAGTTTCACACTTCAACAGTGTTTTTCAAAGCAACTCCAACTGCTCATTTTTACAGAATAATCTTTCAGTGAGGAATTTACAAGGTAAAAAAAAAATATGACACTGGGACATACAGTGCTTGTTTCTGTGGGTGTAAAGTTTACCAGATTTAAGTCAGCATTTAGTTCTTAGATGTCAAAACGGGACAAGACTGACATTTTCTAACTCACGTAGCCATCAACCCTGAATTAAGAACAGGTGTGTTCACAGGAAGTAGGTCTGATTGTAGTTCCATGGAGGCAGTTCTGGGACACTTTAGTACCTACTCCAGACTAGGTACTTCTCATTCAAATACAAACAACTAGGGAGGCACTTACAATGATGTTTTACTGACTGGTTGACCACAAGCAGCACTGCTAACTTGGAAGTTATGCGGTGGTGTAGTTTTGAATTATGTTTGAAGTTTAACCTACAAGCTTTTTGCGTCTCCCAAGCTTATTTAGCATAAAGGTTTCAGTTCTGTTGTGCGGTGTGAAAGTGACAGATAAAAGTGGCCAGGAGCTACAAAAGTCCCTGGTCGAGACATATCAGAGACCTGTAAACCGAGACCAGGTTCGGTGTGAAAGCACCTAAAGACTAATGAAAAGTCCCAGAAGAGAAGCATCTGAATTGAGCACACTGACAGATTACTGTCAAAACAATGAACTCCATAAGCCATCGTTGGATGTTGAGGAACTACAAGTGCAATAAAAAGCATACATTTTTGAGCTCATGTGTGAAGAAAATGGGCTGTTGACATTACTAAAGTAAAAACAAAACTATCCATTAACTATATAAAAAATTTCACATATGCTTTCCCAAAATTACATATTTATGACATACATGGATGACATGTTAAAGTCGTGACACTCAAATTACTAAGCTTGGAAGAAAAAAAAACCTATTAAATTCAATGTGACTAATATTCTATTTTCCCATAAGGAACAGCTGAAATATTCAAAATATTCATCAATATTCCCAAAACAATGTTTTCAGTAATCAACAAGTCTGATATTTGTAAATCAGTCAATTTTCATATTACATTTTTCATGAAAAAATAACATTAATATAATTCAGAAACATAACAAAGGGAGCAAGTGGAGGAAGGGTCAGAAACTTGTTCCACAAGGGTTTTCACAGCTTTGCACAAGACTGACATTTAAACCCAAGCGGCTGAACCAGTCTACTGTAAGGGAGGAAACACTGTAGGCCTTGCTAAAATAACTCTGTAAGAAAGTGAAGGACACACACCCAACTTTGAGATCTTGTAGGACATCTCTTCTATTCTAAAATAATCACATCTGGAGTCAATCTACGGCCACTTCACTAAACAATCACCAAGCAAGTGAGTGTGTAAAGGCCGCTGCTCATTTGCATGGTTTTCCTTCTCATTTTTTTCTTAAGCCCTATATAGTGACATGCAGCTCACCTGTGGTTCACAGCAGCAGTTATGAGAAGAGCCGAACATTAGCGTAGCACCCTAAGAGAGAACCAGCTCTCACCACCCTCAACGTATCTCTGACATCCGTCACAGGGTGCAGGCTCTGTTGACTAAGCAACTGCTTATTTGGTGACTTCCATGTACAGTAGCACACCACTTAAAAACAGCTCAATTCCTGAGTGTGATGCATGAGAGATCAGGAAACACCAAGGACTGGTCTGCACAGAGCCCTTCAAATGCAAAGTCGAGAGCTGACGCCCCCCCGGACACACCTGAGTATGCAGACAAGCCCTGAGAGAGTGCCTATTTATAGGTGTGAGTTCAGAGGAAGCAGCGGGTGGGGAAATCACTTCCCTGGCTGCTTGCCACACCTTGGGCCATTGGGAATGCACTACAGCAGCGTTCCAGCATGCTGACAGAGACATACCGCTCTGAAGGTCTGGGCGCAAGACGGCTTAATAAAAGCACGAATCAAAGTCAGAAAAGCAGCCGCCTACAAGTGGCCTGCTGTTTCCGCTGGTAACTCAAGCCCTCTGGCACAGTGGCTGGCAGAATACAATGAAGGAATGTGGCGGCAGTAGGACACAGGTGCCACCTGTCCCACTAAAGGATTCCTACAGAATGACAAAGAGGCATAGGCTGCTACCTGTATGACGCCACAGTGACCTTCGTGTGGAATTCACTAGCGACAGACCTGTAGCCAATCGCACTCTCTCTCACTGGAAGATGCATTCAGAAACTGAACACCATGTGGTCAGCAATATAATGCAGGTAATTATACGGCTGGATAAGTAAGAGCACTTTGCATGAATTTCATGGTGATCGTTCTGACCTCGTAATAAATAAATAAATTCAGCAATTAAAAGTGAGCGGCATGGCGGCTCAGTGGATAGCACACCTCCTCCAGGGATAAGGGGTGTGTGAGTGTGCCCAGTGATGGAACGGCCTCTTGTCCAGGGTGCTCCCTGCCTTGTGCTCCATGGTGACAAACAGGGCTGCACAACATCATGTCATGATTATATGGTGCATGTGCAATAATCACCAGGCGATGGGTATAAGCATTTTTCAGGATGATGGCTTTTCAATACTATATGGATATTTACTTATTCCCACAATTCAGCAAGAAAATTTGCAATACATCTAAAATATCAACGAGAGGCATTTTGTGACACCCAAAAGTTAGTGATTTGTATAAACTATGTGTAATAAACATACTGGACTTTACACTGCAAAAAATACCGCCAAACCACGTCATCTTTTAACCTTTGTTTAACAGATGCTGTGGCTGTTGAGCTGTCCTTTTCTTCACCGCTACTTCAGTGTTTATTGCTTCCATGATATTGCAGAACAGTAGCATGTGGCGTGCTCTGCTACCCAAATTTAATAAGCATATGGATATGCCAAATACTAACTTTTAGGTGTCACAATATGCATCTCATTAGTATTTTAAGGAGTTTTACTTACACAAAAATGTTCTGAGGGTAGAATGAAAAATAAGTGGTTCAGAGAGAGAACCAAGCAGATTGCAGAGAAGGTGCGTCTAAGCAACTAGACAAGGGGGAGGGGGGGGGGAGACATCTGATTGGTTAATCCCACCTCCACAAGCAATATTTTAGGAGTACTACTAATCTGCTTACCAAATTGTGGGCGTAAACATTTGTATAGTACCAAAAAGACGGTGTCCTCTAAAGCCAAGGTGATTATTGTGGATGTGCCATATAATCGTGATTATATCACGATGTGATATTGTGCAGCCCTAATGACCAAGAGACACTCAGTTGAAACTCGCAGCCCTCTATCAGAGAAGTGGTTGGAAGATGTATAAACCTACATGAACTTGTTCAAGTGGTTAGAGGTAAGACAAAAGCAAGATACCTTCAGTTTTCACATTATTTTAACACTTGGGTAACCTATACATTTAGATTCTGAAATTCTGTAATGAGGTTTCCTTGTATTGCGACAACAAAATCATAGTACAGATAATGTGAAATACTTGACAAGAGATGGCTTGACGAAGCACATGAGAGGAACAGTGATAACTTAATGAGTGGCATTAGTCTAAAGAGAGAATGTGTAATTAAGGGCAGCTGGAAGAACATGCAACATTACAATGTAAAACAGATTCTGCTTTCCCAAACACTCCTGGTTTTTCTACATACTACCTTTTGTTTATGACTCTAAATACTTGATTATGAGCCACATGCTTTGTTTATTTAAGCTATATAAGGATATGACCCAAAACACACAAATATGTATCGTGAAGTGCAATAAATGATTCAATTCAATTTATTTTTATATAGTGCCTTTCACAACAGAGTCACCCCAAGGCACTTTACATGGGTGGTCCATTACAACATAATTAAGACAGAATAATACGAAAACAAAGAAAAAGGAGGACAAAGAAATTAAAAGATTCCTCTAATCATTACTGAATCTAATATAATTGATATATTGTCCAAACCATTCACACCACACAGGCAAGTACTTGCCAGCAAAGACTTCTCTGATGCCAGGGAAAATCCTGTATGTTTCCCATATGCAATATTACCCATGTCGTCATCTTGGGTTACCTTCCAAATTCACGCCCCACTCCTCCAAGCTTGCTTTCAGAACAGACCACCTCAAAGAAACTGTATCACGGAGCAATCCAGCTCCACAAATACAGCAGATGAAAGTCTTTCTGAAGGACACAACTTGTTTATAAATGGAATCAGGGCCAGGTGATATGGACCAAAATGGTATTTTTAGGCAGAAAAGTGATACATGATATGTCTATGGGCTAAATGCAAGTCAAAACGACATGTGAGATGTCACAAACACTTAAAATAGAGTGCAGTCAAATGAAATGCAAAAAAAAAAAAAAAACTATCTAAAATTTTATTTTTATTCTTTCAGCCATCTGTCAATTTATGTTAAATGGAATGCAACAAGTAACAATGTTTTCTTGACTTTACACACACGCTGAACGTTTTGATTTTAGTTTTGAATTCTGAGATCCTGCGTAACATCAGAGTTCACACTCTGTATACAACCAGGAAGAATACTATTTCTTAACACTATTGATTAACATTTTGAAGATGAGGACTATGGGATTGTCCAGGATTACAAATATCTGGGTGTCAACCCAGAAAGTAAGCTGGACTGGTCAAAGAACTGTACTCGCCTCCACAAAACAAGCCAGAGCAAGTTGCATTTCCTGTGGAGCCTCAGTTCCTTCAGAGTCTGCAACACCATGTTGCAGATATTCCATGAATTTGTGGTAGCAAGTGGCTTCTTATACATTGTCCTATGCTGGGGCAGCAGTGTGAAGGTGGCAGGTCCCAACAGACTCAACCAGTTAATCTGGAGGGCTAAATTGGTTCTTGGGGAGGAACTGGACACTATTTACACTGGGGGGGAGGGAGAAGAGGATGCTGTCCAGACTTCAATCAGTTATGGACAATGCCACTCACCACGCCACAGACTTGTGGTTGGAGTGAACGCCACAGTTGGTCACAGATTCCTCAGAATGAAATG